GACTGCAGATCAATTACTCACTGTCTACACACACATTACAATATCCTCTCGCGTCACGTTGTCCCCTCTTATATATACCAAACTACCCTATATCTAGCAAATACTAGAGCATTTGCCAAGAAACGGGATAGTTCTAGAAACGTGGCGTCACTGTAGTCATGTGACTCGCTGACGCAACAATATTACCAAACCAAGCTTTAAGTTAGGTTTGTAGGATGTAATTCATAAATACCACGTTATAATCTTACCAAATTGAGCTTTATGTTAGGCTTGTTGGATTTTTTTTTTATTTTTATAAATTCAGCATCATAATCTTACCAAACCGAACGTCACATTAAATTTGTACATCTTTATTTAAATATCCAACATTATAATATTACCAAACCGAACATTACATTAGGCTTGTTGGATTTTATTTATAAATGCAACACTATAATTAGGCTTGCTAACGCTCCCGAAATCGTATATGTTCTCCCTGAATGCTTGACAAAAAAGATTATAAATAGAAACAGGATAAAGCTTCTGTTGCTTGGAAATAAACATATTTTATGTTATTATAAGTTACTGTTTTTACAATAAGAACTATTTTATGTTATTATAAGTTACAGTTTATACAATAAGAACCATTTTATGTTATTATAGTGTTACGTCTCTGTTCGTTTGTTAATTTCCCGTAGAAATTCTTTCCAAGAAACTTCAGCGATATAAGTCCTTTCTTAACTAAAACTAGTTTATTATTTCTCGATACAACTTCATAATACACAGAATTTCCACAGTCAATACGTTTGCAATCTCGATAACAAAACACACACTTTATATTACAGTCACTACCGCTCACTTGACTCAATTACCTGTCTCTATCTATCTGCAATTATTTGCCGAGCTTATATACTAAAATAGAGGGCGCCTAGAAAAGACTAGAGTTGCCAGGAAAAGTCACGATCCTTCGAGAATCCCATCACGTGTTAACAGCGTCACGTGACTTCCGCTGTTGTAACAATATTAAACTTTATACATTATATAGGCTACACTAACGCGACGTTTAGGTGGTTTGTTTAACTTATTATACGTGATGTACGTTTTTTTGGGGTTGGTTGATGAAAGTGTTCCAAAACGTGACATTAATTTCTTGACGACCTAATACGTAACAGCACTGATCCTGCCGGTTGCAGTACTCAAAACTAACTAAAGCATGCCTTTTTTACTGTTT